GGTGCTCAGAAGTCTAACCAGAGCCCCATTCGAACCCTTAGCCACATGCTCATTACTTCACTTATCTATGAAAGTGGCATTCCTGGTCACCATTATATCAGTGTGAAGAGTCAGCAAAATAGGGGCTCTCGTGGCTCACCCACAATATTCTTCAAGGATAAAGTGACACTTAGAACACATCCTAAGATTATGCACAAAATATCATCCTTGTTCCATCTCAACCAACTGCTTCACTTAACTACATTTCATACAAAACCACACACTAACGCTCAAGAGGTGGTCCTGCACACATTGGACATGCGCTTAGCATTTTATCTATTTGGAACGAAGCTCTTCCTTTTGACTTTTGACTTTTTGTGTCAACAACAGAACGATCAGAGGCTCTGCCATATCTACGCAAAGATTATCGAAATGCATATCCAGCTGTATCCATATGTGCTATTCACTGCACAACACTGAAGCCCCTCCGGGCATCAGAACCCACTCAACAAGAGCTTTATCTACATCCATAGCATTCCTACACAATGTGACCATTCTAAACATCTGCAGGGCGGCCACCTGGGCCTCTTAACACACATTCACAAATCACTATGCTATTACTCTCAGTTCAAGTTCAGACACAAGACTAGGCCTCACTGTACTAGCCTCAGCAACAAACTGAACTCCGAATTCCTTTCCGTCCTCATGAGAGCACTGCTCTACATTCACCTGAAGTGGAGCACCCACAGGGACAGCACTCAAAGAAGAAGAGAAGGTTACTCACCTTGTGCAGTAACTGAGGTTCTTTGAGATGTGTCTCCCCCTGTGGGTGCTCCACTACCCACCCTCCTCCCCTCTAATTCGGAGTACGAGCGAAACACTCCACGGTTGAGAAGGAACTGAAGGGGTCGGGACCTGAGCATGTTAGATGAGACACCAGCGGCACTGCGAGACTGCTACTGCGCACACGCACCCCGACCAGACACTGCTACTGAAAATCTCCGATTGACAGCACCGGGATGCACCAACACCTGAAGTGGAGCACCCACAGGGACACACATCTCGAAGAACCTCAGTTACTGCACAAGCTGAGCAACCTTCTCTTAAACTTTGAACTAAATGGCTATGATTTTTCACAATTGAAATCAAATAGTTAAATTTTTCTATAAATGTGTTGAAGTTAAAGAAATGAATGAAAGAAAACCTATTCTCTTTCTCTAGGTATTCAGACCTCTACTAGATCCAGTTACTGGTGGGAATAATTGTATTTGTTATGACCAATTCAAAGGAATGCTTAATAGTTGTGTACAGTCACAAGCCTTGCCAGGTACCTCCAATGGTAAGTGTTTGGAGAAGTCACCTACTGTGTTTGATTTTTTTAATTTGGTCTCCTCCCATCTACAACTGACAGTATAAATGATTGACCGTCCCTGTATGATTTCTAGTTTATTTTTCTCCTGTAAGTTAATTTTTTGTTAGCACTCATTAAAGTGTGATGGGATTGGAGATGGAAGTCTTCTATTTATCCATGCATAAGGCTATGTTTATGTTATGGAGGTCATCGAAGTCACGGAATCCGTGACTTCCAGAGAACTCCATGACATTCTCTGCCTCAGGCCCAGGGGCCCCCTGTAAGGTTCCAGTGACAGGCAACAGCCTCCTGAGTGGGCCCTTGGGGTTCCAGCAACAGGTGACAGCCTCACGCGGGAGGGTGGGTAGGGGGCGCCTTTGGCGAGTGGCTAAGGGTGTCCAGTTTTCTCTTTGGGAAATTTGGCCCCCCTTCAGCTCCCAGCCACCATGGTTGGAGGGGGCCCCCCTGCAGCTTCCAGCTGCCACAGGCAGAGGGGGAACCCCACAGCTCCCAGCCACCATGGTGGTAGAGGAAACCATGGAGCCGCAGCAGCAAAAGTCACAGACAGACACGGCTTCCGTGAATTTTTGTTTATTGCCCATGACCTGACTGTGACTAAAAATAACCATGACAAAATCTTAGCCTTATCCATGCAGCAGTTACAGCAGTGCAAGCTTCTCTACATTCCCTTATCAGTGTGCCTCAGCCCCAATTTAGGAGGAGCTGCTGCTCTAGTTAGGGAGAGGGAGATTATCAGTCTTCAGGTTATTTTAGATCTTGACCTCTCTGCTGAGTCTGCCAGCAATGAGTGCCACTGGTAATTGGGAATTTGTAATGTGGATGCTTACACATTAGAAACAAGACAGCAATCATAAGTTCAAGTGACATAAGCCACTGAACAGCTATTAAATGGGAATGATTTTTGGTCATTACTCACAAGGCCCAAATTTGAACCAGTTACTGAAAGGTAAGAAGTATGATATACCGTCACCAATCCTCTGAATTGTTCCCCAGTGCTCTGATTTCTGATTGCACGTTAGCTTTGTGACCTTTGATCTTGCTATGTGATAATGTGGGCTTTACATCATGGAGGTTGAAAGGAATTGTTTTTAATTTCTAGGCAGTATTGTTTCTATCCATGTACCTCTATTTACTTTGATGTCTATAAGGAAGCTGAAGAAGTTTGAAAGAGAATGTGTTAAAAAAATTATCGTAGCTCAATGGTTATCTTGAAAAGTGAAGATATAAAGTTCAATTAAAGGATAGTTTTCTCCCTGGTCCTTTAAAAAGCTATTGCTCAGGTTCCAGTAGGTAGGAGTGAGCTCTCTTCTCATGGGATCAGTAATGGCCACTTTGTGCCCTTCCATACACAGGTGTACAAGGGAAGGAGAGGGGATGGGGTGGGCAAAAGGAGCCTTACACCATTGCATAGGGGCCATGCACAGTTGCACTCCCTGTGTGCAACAGTATTCCTTGCTTAAGAGCCATCCCAAAGGGGTGAGGGAAGAGACAGGAGTAAAGCCAGATATACAGAGCTGGACAGATATGCAGAAAGGATCATGCTGCATCTTCCTAAGCAGTGATGCCGGGGGTGTGCTCCCTACAGTATGCATGCCTGGAACCTCTTGGAGGGATTGTGCATCCTTGAAGAACGTTGCCTTTTGGAGTTCCCCCTGCGATTGTGCTGCTCTGCATCAGTCCTAGCATGAGCCAGTGTCAAAAAGACAAAGCTGCCCTTATATAGATGCCAGACCACAAAGCATGTTCTCCAGTTGTTTCTTCTAATACATGAGGCATCTCATAGCCATTTGTCATGTGATCGGGTATTAGAATCCCTCCAGTGGCAAGTTGCACATTCATTCGCCTTTTTTAACATAACATCACTGAGCAATGTATAATTTTTCCCAGCTATTTTGAGAAACATCAAGCTGGCTCAATACTGGGGTCTCATTTCCCAACGTTCCTGACAGGAAGTCTGTTAGAGGAGAATATTCAATATTTTTATGCAAGCTTAGCTGCACTTTCAGAGTGCTCGTTTTAATTTTTGTCAGTGTCCTACGCAATCCTGTGATGTCCAAATCTTTTTTCCTCAGACCTATAGTATAAAAGATCTCCTAATGTTTGCCATTGTCCTCATTGTTTGTTTAAAAAACCTTCCATTTTGTGTGACAGAACCTTTGCAGTGATACCAGCACTTTACCTCAGACTAGTGCTCCTGTCTGTGATGAACTTGTAAGTATGAATTTAGGGTGTTGTTGTTGTTTTTCTGAAAGTTTTTGTTCTTTGTTTTTGATCTTACAGGCAAAATATTGTAGAAATTGAAAACGGGAATCACCTAAACTGCCAAAGGGTAAAATGTTTTTTCAAATGCAGTCCTACGTATTCCACATACAAAAGGAAAAAGAGAACATTAGACATCCATTTATGAAAATCTTGGCTGTAAAGTTAGGCTCTTAAATCTTCATTTAGGGGCTAACCTAAAACCCACTGAAGTCAATGGAAAGACTCTGATTGACTTCAGGGTGTTTTGGATCAGGCTGCTAGGCACCTAAGTAGGTGGCTGATTTTCAAAAGTGCTGAGGACCAGCAGTTGTCATTGAAGAGAATGGGTATGTCTAGGGTGACTAGACGTCCCGATTTTATCGGGACTGTCCCGATATTTCCTTGTTTGTCCCACTGGACAAACAAGGGAATGTTCCGGAGCCTGGAGCCCGGAAGTGCTCGCGCCCCCTCCCCCCCCGCCCCAGCTCCGCCCCCTCCTCCCCCCATTGGCTCCCTCCCCGAATCCCCGCCTCTTCCCCAGGCTCACCATTCCTCCTCCCTCCACAAGCGTTGGAGGGAGGCCGGGGAGACGCAGGGGGAGCGTGGGGCCGGGGTGAGTAAGAGTCTGGCCTGGCTCCAAGCAGGCAGGACTCAGTCAGACGGTAGGGAGAGGAGGGCGGCGGCCCGCGGGGCCAGGCGGCAGCTGCTCCCCCCTCCCCCGGGCAGCAGGACTCGGGAGCAGCCGCTGCTGCAG